CAAGGACAACTTTTTAGGAAGGTAAAAATTGGTTTGATAATCTCTCTTTACCAAACTCCCCCGTTTAAGAGGGATGGTGAGAAGTATCCCCCCCCCCACCACCACCACCAACTTCCTAAAAAATTGTCCTTCCGCTTTCTACTCTCTATACATAATTTTTACACTGCCGTACTCTAACGGAACTATCAACTCTATACTTTCATCTCCTAATCTATCGTATAAAAATTACCACTTTAGTCTGTTATTTGAAATTAGCATGTTCAACTATCAAATTGTTACCAGGGATAACTAATTTTTTCCTTGTTTCAAGATCATCCTCGGGGGACAAAGCCGAGTACTGCCACTATCAACAAGGCACAACAAGTAACAATTGGCTTAGCTTTAAGGGCTAAGATGCGTTCCTTAGATTACTGAAAAATCCTGTTCCCCTAGTTTGAAGCAGTCAAGACTAGGATTCGGCGGTAGATCTTACATCCTGTAACGTACCACGAAAAGGTCATCTACCCACGTTAAGGGGTTATGATATACAGTGAACTCTCTAGAACTCGATATTGAAGGGACCATGGAGCTTTAGAATTATCGAGTTATAGAATAACAATCCCATACAAAATCGCTACCACAGTAGCCATGAAATTCATTTGAACTATGGTTGTATAACTCAATATCGAGTTAGTGGACATCGAGTTGTCGAGAGGTGACTGTATTTGATAATATATTTCCACCGGTACAGCTAATGATCTTGTTCTTGAACGCTAATGTGATTTGATGCCCGCTTCTCTCAGGGTATCATGACCATTAGACTGATGCAAAATTTGAAATTTTCGTTCCACAGTGCTCAATCGGGTCCTGATTAACGTACTAAAATTTGAGCTCCTTTGGTAAGAAACTGACTGTATGAGTTCGACTCACAGAATACTGGTATTATAAGCAAAATGCTAGGGGCAAGACAGCTTTTGATGATGAGCTAGAACGGAGTTAATTTTGAGTTACTCCGAGTAACTCAAGTTGCTCAAAATTCAATACAAGCAGACTCAGTAATCATGTTTTCATCCTTTTATGTTGTTCTCTTTCCCGATTTGTCAACAGCAATACATCATCCTCAAATTACGTAACTGTTCGTTCTCCGAAATGCATTCTAGTGATCTAGCCCATCGCCTATCAATTCTAATCGTTTAATAGTTTAATACTTTTTCAGATTAAAAATAAGTTGGACATCTATGAATATTTCCTGGAAGATATTTGGTTTACCTGGACCTCGACTGAAATAACCACGGCTCTTAAAATATTCCAATGATTTTTGCTGAGGCAGTGATAGAATTCAATGCAGCAATCTTGCAGTTTCAGACTTACAGGTTATATTCAATATTTTATTATTATTGTAACTGCACATTGTACTTTATACATCAAATAAATTGCAATAAGAAATTTCCTGTTGTTGATATTTGCAAAATGCTAGCATTCGCTGGGATTTAATGAAAACAAGAAACTCTTTTCATGTTAATAATTTTATTACCAAATTATTCAACAAAATGGTTCAATTTTTCATGAATAGGTGACTCATCCTCTTCTTGGTGTAATACTTGCATCAACTCAATTCATGACACCAGTGATGGCATAATCCTCACTCAAATGATTTTGTTTCGCTCTCAAGGGCTCCCAATATCACGCGAGATACTGGAATAAAATATCAAGCATGATATTGATTTAACAAGCTCCTTTGATATTGCGAGACAATTCAGAACATGTAAAATTGTAGCTACGAGTTGACTTACCACCACAATGATTCCGTAGCACATCGTATTCTTATAAAGAGAAAGCATAGCGTGCTATCTCTCTTTACTCTTCACAGATGACAGACACGAAGTTACTGCTACCAGCAGTGATGGAAGTTTCGGTTCGTGTTCGGGTGTACATCATAAATCTTGAAGCTCAAACTCACCACAGTTTGGTGAGAATTGTAGCTGGTGAGTTTTGTTAGCATGATATCAGAGCAACCGTATCACAGCTTTTAATATCATCCGATATTGTCTGCTTGTTGATTTTTGTTTACGATACTCAAATGAGATTATTCTCATTGGTGAGATTTGATCTTTTGATATTTTCCCAACACTGCATGACACACATATAGAATGAAAATCTTAGATCTTAGTGAAATGGTAACACGGAGTCACAGGTGTTGGGTTGCGATGCTTAACCGACGCCACTAATCGCTAAGCGGTGCCACCTTTATGGGTTCGACAAAACGCAGCCATGTTGTCAACTACTGACGTAGTCAGAGTGAAACACCTGAGCATCGGAAACAGTTCCATATAGCCACGAAACTGCCATACCAGCCCACCACCAACGGTACACTACGCAGTCGTATCACCATCTGCCTGATACGATAGGCACAGTATCATCCACCATCATCGGAACCGACTCCGGAACTTCATCACAAGCTTTCGTTGGATTGCAGTCGATGTTTATTCACTGTGTATTCATTTGTCGACACAAGATTGCTTTGATCACTTTTGAGTAATTATGAGTAGCTCAAATTTACTCTATGCAAAAGTATTAACTCGATGTACAGCTGACTTGCCACTAGGCAAAATGCTTTATTTATTGACGAAAAACAATAACAATCCTTAAGGCGTCCATCTTACTCAAATTTACTTTACACCCTAACCATGTTCTCTAACTTTTTAGTTGAGCTATCATCCAATTAGCGAATCCGCAACTTATAAGCACCACACAAGAGCGAACCTAGGGGTAAGACAGCTGTACTCAGAGCAAATATATTAGCAGCGAGTAAATTTGAGTTACTCTCATTTACTCAAAAATGATCATAGTAGTCTCGATTTTCTGATCAAAAAATATCGTCTGACAGCCTATTTGGTTTTCAATTCAAACACAGTGTAAGGTGATACACTAAGGAAGCCTTAGCGTGAAACTTTAAAGGCACAAATGTTAGCTTCCACAAAACATAAAAATTTCAAATTGCTACTCCTTGTTTGCAGTGCTAATACAAACAGAGAGTAGCAATTTCAAATTTGTATGTTTTGTGGAAGCTGACATTTGTGCCGTTGAAGTTTCACGCTAAGGCTTCCTTAGAGTATTAAAATATTCAAGGCAAACCAGGGATCAATTGGTTGAAGTGTTATCGTTGAAGATTTTTGATGATGTGGTGGTGTTATTTCAGGACTATACATGTTGGTACTCGACCAGAGATTTGAGAAATGTCTGTCCTGTGAACAGAAATAGCATATCTCGCAGTGTCTATAAAAGATCCTTCTCAACTTATATCGTCTCAAGTACAACTATGTTCAAAAGTTTCAATAACGTGAAACTATTCGTTTGTACCGGCAAGAGCAGTTGTAAAAAAAACCCCTCGAGCTGGGGCTCAGGGTCGGCTTATTACTTGGTAGTCCAAGGGACTTAGTGGAAAAGATGTGCAATGTACGGTCACCTGACTAGAGATTATTGCGGAGTATGAACTGAAAGATATGGTTTGGCGGAGAAACTATGGTATTTATTGTGAAAAGACAGTCTATTTTGATCTAAAGGTTAGTTTCATTGGGCAATATACTGTTGGAATGGGATTTTCTTCGGTACGTTCCACTGGTACCTTGCTGCTGATGCCGACGATCTGGCCACGTTCTGCAAATACTCGCTGCTATATTTCCATCGTCTCTTTGGATTTTTTCCAAAAAGTAATCCTGCGTAAGTGGAATGACAATTTAATATTCTGCACTTTTGGAATATGAGGATAATATCTGAATTTTAAAACATAGTACGAAAAACACCGTTCTTATGTTGAATAGTTTGATAATTGGAATAGATTATAAGTTTCCATTTTTGATTGATACTTACATCGAGGTTCATCATTGAAAACTGGAAAGCACTTGACAGAATCGGTTTCATCATTGTTTTCAATATTACAATCAGGTTGCTATGTGTATAAGATATTGTGCAACGGGAGCTACTCAGAGTCATTTAAAATTAAGTCCGAGTTTACTCATAATCGAAAGCTGTCTTACCCCCAGGAGCGAACGCTGAAAGTACATCAGAACACATATAGCTAATTCCGAAAAAAAAACTAGTACTTGTTTGAAACTAACAACCGCAGTATGCTACTAAAGCTGCGGTTGTCAAATAAGCTGACGCAGGATGCAAATTTTTCAGACGATACTAAGATTTTATGTATTTGTCATTTCGAAAATCTCACTTCCAAAGAACAAGCAATTCCTGGGTTGGTGATTATTTCATGTTCGAATGTGATGCACACTAAAGCCCTACGGTAAAAGTCTGGACGTTTGCCAAAAATCTATTCCAATCAAAATGTCAAATTGCACTACTTTGCTCGATAGGAACAACTTTTTATCAGTTTTCTGGTTTCCGCCATCCATACTTTTTTTTTCTGTAGGGCTTTAATGCACACTAGACTATCGAGTGCAGTGGTGTCGGCTGGGGGACTCTCATTGCGGATCGCAATGGGAGCAATGGGAGGTGATTGTGCCGCACAACGGGAAGGGATTAAACGAGAGTATCTACGTGTGCCAATCCAACCCACTGACTGACCGATCGGTGGGTGCCGTGCCGGCCGCTCATCGTCGTCCCCAAACTTTAAACGAACTGCTCGACACGCGCGTAGAATGACAAATGCACGGCTACGAGCTGTTTGTTTATGTGTCTATACTTCACTGGAAAACCACAACAACAATACACTCAAACGACACGCAATTTCGATTAAAGTGTCCCTCCAAATGAAGACGACCAATCCGACCGCACGCCCAATAATGGATGCACCTTTTTTTCTGCTGCTCAAGAAATCAGTTTTGTTTCAATTCCAACTATCGTACCAAGCGTTTCGGAGGGTGGATTTCGCTCCTAAAACAGTTGGTAGCATACTATCGTGAAGGAAGAGAGTGTTAATAAAATAAAACGTGTTGAAATCGTGCTGGGTGCTATACATAAATGTTGTAGCTGTTGTCATTTGTTTTATTTTTTTTTCGGTCTCCAAGATTGTGAATCAGCAGTAGCAACCGAGACAGAAAGCGGCAACCGGTGACATTGCAACCGCCGAGACGACCGGTACAAGCAGACAACCAACGCACAACAATAAAATTAAGGTAGCCAAAGTGGACAACATACAAACAACAAACGACGAGGGAAAGGAGAGTGAACAGGAGAAAAATCACTTAATTCGCACAGGGTAAGTAATTGGCGTTGATAGTTGGCTTTTCATTAAAATGTCCCTTTTTATGTGTGTACCGCAGGGGGCATGGGTGCATCAGGGAGTTGATTTAGGGTGGGGACTGTCGAAATAATTTATAGAATTGATGATTGGTTATGTTTTGAATTTGGTTTAGAAAATGTGTTTCAAATTTTTGAATCAATCCAGAAAATTACCCGAAATAAGATAATTGCCCCCCATCAACTCCGCCCATGCTTTTAACAGAATATCGCACGGATTGGACAGGACAGCTCGCGCACTTTATAGTCACTGCTGGGTCACATATTATTGCACTGCGGATAGGTTTTATGGTTTCTAGTCCCCCCAAATTTATATGCTAATTGACAACTACCGACAACTTACCGCCGGTTCGTGTGATGTCAAGGTTTGGACGTTCCAGCGACTGGCGCTTTCCAGTAAATTGACAGCACCATTAAGGTAGCATAATTTAAATTTCAGAGTTTTTCTAAGAATTTTTCGGAGAGTTGTAAAGTTGGAATTTAAAACCAAAAATTGAAAGTTTAACCGACTCAAACAGATTGAAAATTACACGCTTTCAAATTTGTCAACATTAGAGAAAATCGTCAAGCGGAAGAAGTATTTATGGTACCTACCTAGCAGCTTATGCTGACACTGACAATCGTCGTGATTGCGTGTGTGAATGCACCTCACTTCTGCGCTGCATGGTCGCACGTTTATTAAATTGATGGCCCCCGCCATGCAAACGTGTGCATCCACAAATTTGGTTTATCGTTTGGGGGATCTCCCGTTTCCCTTTCATCGGGCATGATTAGTCATGTGAGTTTGGATTAATTTTCGACTGTGGATACACTCAAGCCTTTGACACGTGGCTGCGTGCGCTGATGGAAAATGGGTCTAATTTTTACGAGGGGGAATCCCATTTTATTGAAAAGTGTCTCCATAAAAACCAAAATCAGGTGTGATTCATGTGATTTGATGACCGAGCTTCAAAGAAGGCTACTTGAATCACGATTTACTTGTTGCACGAAACCATGTGTAACGGTTTGAATAGCGGCGGCAAAATTGTATGGCAAATAAGGTCATTATGAGTAAAATCGTTAGTAACAGTTATCGTTAGTTTGCGTGGGAGTTTCGACAAACTGACGTTTGAATTTTTGATTCCAAAGGCAACACGAGAAATGGGCCCATCATTGTTGATCGATTCTCTTCATCGATTTTCTCTTTCGTGAATAACCCGACTGCAGATGAATTTTCCATTGAGTGAGTTGTTTCAGGTGCAAGCTAACATCATCTTCTGTCGAACTGTGCTGCTATCATAGCGAGAAATTCGTTTATGTTGTCGTGGCAAACCAAAGAGAAAGTCGTTGAAGAGAATCGATCAACGAGGATAGGCCCTTTTCAAATGTTACGCGATAATTCTTGGACGCAAGAACCGCCAAAATTTCATTTCAGTGCCAACATTTCAAAGTGCCGTAATTGCTTTTATAAACAATTTCTCGCGAATGAAATCTTACCTCTCCAAAATTACAATGCTAGCTGGTAGAGGAAACATTCATCTACCTGTTGGTGTCATTATTTTTCATGAGTGAGCTTTTATTCGCGAGAAATCGACGGCTAAAGCCATTGTTTACAAATGCAATTACGCCCCTTTGAAATGTTGGCACTGATTTAATGATCATTTTGTCAAGCTTCTGCATTCATGTTCCATCAGATGTTACTGCTGTTGTTTGCGGTGACATTTATCGGAAACTAACAATCTGTTTTCCGTTAATTGTTCACAGAGGACACTGCAGTGCAAAACGTTAGTTTAGTTTTTTTTTTTAGTTTAAATGATCTTTATTTTAGTTTAACTTGGACGATTACCATATAAATTTTTACTAAGTGATTTAATTGCTTTCTTCATCTTTAGGTATGGGCAAAATTTAAAATTTGTTTTACAGGATTAGTCCTAGACTTAGTACACGGTCGACCACCTTGGTGGGATTGGTTTGTTTTGTTTTTAGAATTTGAAGAGAAACTACTTAATACTACTATTTACAGCTTAAAACTAACCTACTCTACTATATACACTTAACCTACTATGTACAAATTGCTTATTAAAGCATGTTCAGAAAGATTGCATTTTTGAATAAATTTAGTTGTCATATCATCAATTTTGGAATCTACTTTGGGAATTTCTGCCTCTTGATGGAGGTCTGCTATTCTTGTGTCGAATGGACGATCTAGGATCATCCTCAACACTCTATTCTGTGCAACCTGGATTTTGTTCCTGTGGGTCTGAGCGCACGATTCCCACACCGGGGCGGCATAGAAGATCGCGGGGGCTATGATCTGTTTGTAGACAGCCAGTTTGTTTTGCCTTGAGAGGCGGGATGTGCGGCAAATGAGCGAATACAAACACCTAACCAAGGCGGAGCACTTAACTAGGGTTTTCTCTATGTGCGAGCGGAACAGGAGCTTCTCATCGAACAACATCCCGAGATAAGTAACATCAGCGGGCCACTCGACCCTTGTACCATCCATTATTACGGTACAGGAGGGAGACGGTTTAAGTTTTGGCGATTGTCTGTGAAGGAACATGATGGCATAATCAGTAAAGGTGTCAAGGCATCGTTGGAGCTTGTTCGTAATTTCACGAGGCATCCTACCCTTGACGGCTATCGCGGTGTCATCTGCGAACAGGAAGAACACGCAACCGTCTCCTAGAGGAGGGATGTCCGACGTGTAGATGCTGTAAAGCAGTGGTCCCAGCAGACTCCCTTGCGGAACACCTGCTGGGATCGGAAATTGTCCCGAAAGGGAACTATTCAACGACACCCTGAACGACCTTTGCTGGAGATAGTTACGGGTGATTTTCACAAGGTATGGTGGAAAGTTGGAGTTACAAAGCTTGTATATAAGTCCGTCGTGCCAGACATTGTCAAACGCCTTTTCGACGTCTAACAAGGCCATGGCTGTGGACTTGGATACAGCTTTGTTACTTCGGATGTTATTCATCACCCGCACTAGCTGATGATTGGTGGAATGCCCCTTGCGGAACCCGAACTGTTCCGGAAGAAGAATGTCATGTTCCTCCACAAACTTGTTTAGTCGGCTGAGGATCAATTTTTCGAACAGCTTGCTCAGCGCTGAGAGCAGGCTAATCGGTCTGTAGCTTGACGGTAGTGAAGGGTCTTTCCCAGGTTTGCGGATCGGGATGATTTTTGCCACCTTCCAGATGCTTGGAAAGTAGTGCAGCTCCAAGCATCTGTTGAGGATGGCAGCCAGCAGCGAGTGGACCATCGGGCTGAGATTTTTCAACGCTAGGTTGAATATTCCGTCAAACCCGGGAGCCTTCATGTTTTTACTATATTTCAGCGCTGAGCAAATTTGTTCCTCTGTAATCCGTTCTTCTGGAGGGACGGCACAAGGGGAGGTATCTAACGTCTGGACGCACTGCACAACCTGGTTCTCGAGTGGACTTGGGATTGTAGAGCCAAGCAAATGCGATTGGGCAATGTGCTCCCCAATTGCATTGGCCTTCTCTTCGTTGGTGATAAGCCGTTCGTCATTGACTCTAAGTGGTGGAATGGGCTTGGGGTGAGACTTCAGCACCTTGGCAACCTTCCAGAATGGTCTGGAACGGTCGTCCAGGTTCTGAACGAGCCGCCCGAAACTCTCGTTCCGGATTGAGACCATTCTGGAAGCGATCTGCCGATTCAGATCGACCATTTCGTATTTACGCTGCAGATCCCCAGTCCGCTGAAACTGGCGTCTATGAACATTTCTGAGCCGAATCAAGAGTTTGGTGTGGGAATCAATTACTTGAAACTTACCCCTCACAGGAACTCGTCGAACGCACTCTTCGTCAGCCACGGATATGGCTTGATGGAGACCCTCCAGGGCCCGGTCGATGTCCTCCACTGTGTCGAGTGGTGGGTTGTCGTCGATGTGGCGGTCGACCACGCGTCGAAACTGGACCCAGTTGACTCGATGGTAGTCCTTCCGCTGGCACGGTGCAGGGGCCACGTTGTAGCCCAGCTCGGTCAGCACCGGTTGGTGGTCCGAACTCAGGTCGTTGACGGCAACCGGCTTGGCTAATCTGGTGTTTGCCAAGAACAGGTCCAGCGTCGATGGGTTGCCCGCCGGTGATGTGAAGGTTGGTTCGTCCGGAAACCAGACGGAATAGAGACCATGCTGGGAATGGTCGAATAGCAGGCGGCCGTTTTGGTTCTGCTGGTAGTTCCGCCAGGCCTCGTGCCGGGCGTTCAGGTCCCCTCCGATTACGAAGCGGGCATTGGTGCGGGTTATGATGGCAAGGTCGTTCTTGAACTGCTGTGCTGTACCATTGCTAACGGTACATTGCCGAGGGCAGTAGACAACGATGAACCGGACGTTTCCGGTCGTTGTTTCCACCTCAACGCCGACGGCCTCGATGATGGAAGTGCGGTAGTGGGGTAGGGTGCAGTACTTGATGCCTTTCTTGATGATGACCGCGACACCGCCCCCCCTGGAGCTGGTGCGATCAAGCCGGACAATGCTGTGGTCGGGCAGCCAGAAGCTGTCACCGGTCTTGAGGTGGGTCTCGGTGAGAAGGCCCACGTCGATGTCGTGCTTGCGGAGGAAGTCTGCAAGCTCAATGTTTTTCGCCCCTACGGAGCGAGCGTTCCAGTTGGCGATCTTTATGGGTTCACGGTCCATAATTAGCGACGAAGGAGATGATAGCTTGGAGCTGTTGTGTTCTTGTTGCGCAGGTGCGCTTGATGATGATGGCCTGGGCCAACAGTGTGACGATCTCATCCGTTGACAGCGGAGAATCGTCTGTAGCTTCGCCGGTTGTACCGGCCAATCCCGGAGCAGGGGGATCCGTCGATGGCCCGGAGGCTTGACCGGGTACTGCAGCGGTAGCCAACTGTTGGTTGAGCGGGAGCGGCGGCAACACTGGAATTGGCCGTGATTGGACCGGTGATAACGGAGGAAAGTTCTGCGCGTTGTTTTCTGGAACCTTCTTGCGACCG